GGGAGCTCTCCGTGATAACTTCTGTTTGCTCCACAATGTCCTTGTAGCCTTCTACTTCCTCCTCCTCCTCTAGTATGGTAGCAGAAGGGTGATCTGGAGCAGGTTGTGCACAAGATCGCTCAAGATCATCGACGCTCTTCTTAAGGCTCAGGAGGATCTCCTCTGTTTCACGATAGGCCTGAGTACAAAGATCCATCCTGGCACATGTTCTCTCACTGTCTCGAGCAAACTGCTCAATGAGAAGCCTCAATTCACAGTTTGGATCTGGTTGTGGAGTGTAGCATGGCTCTGCAGAATGGCCCGTGAAGGCCGCCATGGGTAACTCCAGCGCCGATGGCCCTTCTGGTTGTGGGAGAAATTCTTCTTGGTAATGAGGTTGTTCTTGATATGCCCAGGGGTCCGGTTGTTCTCCGTAGTAAGGGGGTTGGTACTGGAACCCGAATCCATAGTCTTCTCCTCCTTGATTGCTCCAGGGGGTCTCGGGGTAATACCACTCGGATGGTGGTGGATACCCCCAATGGTTGGAGAAGCCATTAGGATCCATGATTCAGATCTATACCAACAAAAAAAAACCCAAGTGAAAAGCAAGGGCGGAAAACAAAAGAAAAACGCTAAAGTAACAAACTTCTGCCTTTCCTAATAATCAAGAAAGTCCCCGGCAACGGCGCCAAAAACTTGACTCGCTATGACACAACTCCTAACAATGGCCAAGTGTAACCAATGAAAGGGACTGCAGTATAGTGGCACAAGTAATAAATATCGAATCCACGGGTCTCTAGAGTTACTATTACTCAGCTTCAGTTCATTATCTAGCAAACTAGATAAAGGATTGATTAACTAAACTAAACTAAACTACTCTACTAACTAAACTAAGTAAAACTACTAATTACAGTTTGGGAACTCACTTAGGTATGATTCCCCCTAACTCCTCAATTAGGTCCAAGTTGCAATTACCTTTGGTTGATCTACTGTTGATTAAACTGCGGAAGATCCTAAATTAGCTTGGAATCTCTTAAGCTGACCAAGCCCTCTCAGTCCAACTACCCGGCAGACGACTAGTCTTTACCAGGATAGAAAGCTGAGGATATAAACACAGAACTCCACTACTGGAATGAATTCCAGTACAAAGCAGTGAATTGATTGACTCTCGCACAACCAATTCACCACTATCAATCAAGGAAGCTCTCTTAACCTAATCAGATTCTATCTATCATAGGTTAAAGCAGAAATCAAGAGAATTTGATCAAGATTCAATTGACTCAATAAATCATGCCTCAATCGATTATAATCAAACAATATAGCATCCAAAACTTCATACAAGAAATATCCTAACACATGGAACTAGGGTTCCTCAAAACCTAAGTGAAGGGAAGTTACTCCATAGAGAAGAGAGAGACTGCAGAAATCTGATCTAGATCTTCAATCTCCATCTCCAAGCTTGATTCCCGAGCTCCAATGGCGAAGAAATCTTCCAAAATAGCTCCAAGAATGTTCCCAAGTCACTCTCTCTCTCTAGGGTTCGTCCCTTGGGTGTTTGGGAACCAAAACCCAGCTCTCTCTTTCCTTTGGCTCGAATCTGCCTCAAAACCCCGATTCTGGGCGAATTACGGGCTGAATTACGGTCGTAATTCTTCTATGCCCGTAATTTGCCCAAAACACGCGTTTTGGTTATGTTTCAGCGCACCCAAAGCTCCTCTCGGCAGTGAAATTACGGGCATGGGAGGCCAAATTACCGTCGTAATTCTCCTGCCCGTAATTCTTCCTCCTCTCCTGTTCAAAGCTTCGTTTCTCCCTCGTCCGGACTCCAAATCAGTCGCCGTTTGAACCCAGACGCTCGTAGTCTCATCCTATTTCTTTTCATAACAAGCTTGCCTGATTATTTGTCCATAAAGTGAGGAAGAAATCCATTCTTCTTCAGGTCATGCCTGAGTTTCTTCTCCCTAATCGCCAATTGATCTCTGATTGACTTGAAACTTGCGCCTATGCTTCACTTTATGTGCTAGGGCCTGAAATGTGACAAAGGAACACAACCTAGCGTAAAATAAGCAAAAGAAGCGATAATGCCAGCTTAAACGATCAAGAAACAAAGGGGAAAACATGTGCAAATATCGAGTCATCAACACTGTATTTGTATTGGATATGGATTCCAACAGCAGAAAGGTAACCCTAACTTGACTACCACTTAATTCGACCCTATCTTGTCCTAAATATCTATAAAGACGAATATATGTCACCTTCACTGCCACCGAAACTCTGAATTTGGTTTTTTGTACGGTTAGAGCTTTTGTGAAGAAGATCTTTTACGGTTGTTGTTGTACGTGTTTCAAGAGGTCGGCCAAGTGAAAGGTGAGGTCGGCCTATTTTAACTATCGTCGTCATCTTGTCTAATTTGTAATTTGCCCGGTTTAATTTGATGTTTTGTTGCGTGTAGAAGAACATTCGGTTGTTCCTTATTTCAATCAGGTCAATCTAATTCTTATCATGGTTGACTGTTTCTGTTTGCTTTGCTTGTTAATCCGGAATGTCGTCTTTGGCTTTGTTTGTAAGACTATGTTGTGCTTAAAAGGTCGACCAGTCAATGTGTCTGGTCGACCTATTAATTTTTCATGGTAGTATTACACATGTTTTTGTTGGTAAATTGTTATTATTCTTTTGGATAGGTCGACCTAATTGGTTCTGGTAGTGACAACTTACGTCTTTCAGATTGACCTAATAATATTTCAGGTCGACCACTTCTCTGTTGTTGGGCATTTGTAAAAAATTAGAATGACCACCTTAGGGGATTTGGTCAACCGCAGTTAGGAATATGTTGACCGAATTGTACAAGTTACGATGACTTGGAAGGCACCATAGGCGCACCCTAAATGTTATATTTAAATATGGTTATTTTTTTATTTTATTTGAAATTTCATATTTTTAGGCTTGACAATGGGGTGGATTGGGGTCAGGTACCCTAGATCCGTTGCTCGCCCACAATGGGCCTCGGGTTTCCTCGTCATCGTCCCAAACGGACAAACGGATCTGATCGGATAACCACCACCGTCACCAGTGGGTTATCAAGTGTCCGTGGGTCAGTTACACCCGCTAAAATAAAAATTGGAAAAACATATGAATCTGAAAACTTTATTCACATTGATCTGTCAAAAATACTTGAAATCAACAAAGCAAAGCTTGCCAAGCTGCAATTATGCCAGCAACTCAGCAACAACAACCAAAGACAACATACTTGTTAAGTGTTTGTGCTAGAAATGAACCACACAAAACACAACACATTACACATCATTCGATTCTCAGCAGGATGAGGCGAGTCTTATTCTTATCCAAAATCAATAAACTGAAATAAAAGCAAGCAACAGTAGCGCAGTAACATTTCATTTAGATTCCAACAACATCTGATCCGACCATGACCCCCATTGCAATTGAAGTAAAGCAGCAATCATCAATTGAACCGAAAGTCTGCATGAACAAGAAAAGAAGCACACGATAGGAATGACTCAATTAGTAAAGAACCAGTCGAGCCTCTCAAGAAGGAAGAACACGTCTGCATCAACAAGTAAAGAAGTTATTTAACTTTGTTCCACAGTAGATAATGCATCGTTTTCATGAGAAAATGGTGATCTCATTAAGGAGAGTTTTGGACCTTAAAAAGGAAAACTATGCAAATATAATTTTGCCTCAATGAAGTAATACAAAAAACTAATACAACACACCAAGGAAAAATGATCTTACCACCAGGTTCCCCCTCTTCCACAGTTGTATCTCCGACTGTCATTGATGAGAAGAGTCCCTCCAATGCCTCCAAAGCAGCCTCCGAATCTGCAGAAAATCAGTTACAAGTATTGTTAAAACTTAAACCAATAAACTTGTAATGAACTTCATAGGTTTAGTTGCATGTCTTCCATTATCCAACTTCGTGTGCACATCATTGCTTCTACAGTCGAATAATGCAGCCTACTCCGGTGAGGGTCTATGACTCACTCCTACTGTCACTCTAGAAAATGGCCAAGTGTAACCACTTCCAAAAGCGTAGTATAGGGGGTTTGGGTTTTAATGTCAACCCGGGTCCTAGATATGATGACTACTCAGTGAATTCGTATTATCTAGCAATGAAACTTTAGTGAAGGTCTAAACTAACAAGCAAGCAAAGCAACTAAACGGTTGTTTTCAGGTTAAGAGAGGTCACCCGGATATGGTTCCCCCTAGACTGCAGTTAAGCCGGATTGCAATTACCAAGTTCAATTCCTATGATAGTTATACTGCGAAAGGTTCTTAAACAGTCTGAAGTCTCGACTAAAGGTCTCCAGACCCTCTCAATCTGAGTCTCTAGCGGGCGACTAACCTCCAGCGGAGTAAACAGATTGAGGCCCTAACGAACAAAACCTCCTCTACCGAAGTAACTTCGGTACAGAATAGTGAATTGGCTCCTCGACTAAAGTCACCAATTCACTACCTTCAATTAAGGGTGCTCTATCAACCTAGGCAGATATTCTCATTCTAGGTTAAAGCTGAAACAACAGGAATTTGATCAGGATTCATGCCATTCAATCATTCAAACCTCAATCGAATATAATCAAATCATAGAAACAGTACTTGGGTTCATACAATCAAACCTAACATACAGATCTAGGGTTTCCCACACCCAGATGAATGGGAGAACTACTCCATGGAGAAAGAAGCAAAAGCAGATTCAGACGCGGAAATCATACTGTGAAGGATGGATTTCTGCTCCTGGACGTTGTTCGGCACTCCTCCAAGCTCAAGCCAAGCTCCAATGGTGATGAAGATCAAGCTAGGGCACTTGGAGACTCTTGTTCGTCGCTTTCTCTCTCTAGGAATCGCTCTGTCTCTCTAAAACTCGAATTCCCTCTCTTTTTGGCTGAAATCTGCCTAAAAGGGCATCACTGGCCAGAACACGATCGAGGACACGGCCGTGTTCTGATCCAGCCCGCCCGTGCCCTCTGCCACGTGGTAAATACACGGGCACGGTCTGGGGAAAACACGGGCGTGTTTTGATGTGGACACGGCCGTGTTTTGAAATGGTCTCGCCCGTGTTTTAATGCTTGTGCAGGACACATGTGGAGAGCCTCGGCAGTAAAAGCACGGCCAGGAACACGGCCGTGTTCCTGAGGCCTCCTGCCCGTGTTTTGGTCCTGGCTCGACCAAACGACTTCCAAATGCTCTGAAACTCGCGCTTGGCCTTCCCTTCGACGCCTGAGACCTGAAATAGGACAAAGTAGCACAACCCGGCGTAAAATAGGCCAAAACACACAACTATGCTCCGCAAATGGATAAGAAATAGGGGTATAAAATCATGCAAATACATCGTTATCAGTCTAACAACCTCCCACCAAAACTAAATACATTATTAGAAGCCAAAATAGTAATTGGGATTGCCAGAAAGTCATTTGCACTTGCTTGCAAGGTCGGATACTTGAGACCATTCAGTTTCCACCTAAAGAGCATATCAAACTCTGTTGTCCGAGGAATAATATCCTCAACAAGATAGATATCCAACTCATTTGTAATTAAGGAATTCTACTCTTTTTCCTTTAACTTACAAAGAGTTCAAAGTCAATTTCAGTGGTCGAGGCAAATCCAGAACTAGAAGAAGTTCCAGTTTCCGAACCAGATTTCTTCTCGCTTAGTTTGATAATCACGAATCAAACCACATATCATTTGATTGATATCCTCATCCACCAAATCAATTTTGATATTCCCAAACTTTCCAACATTGTATTCATTCACATGAAGCTTATATATAGCATCCAAAACAACCGAGATAGCAAGTATAAGATGGATATCATCCCAGTACTTATCAAACTTCAGTGACATTTGACTGGCCATTCCAAGAATCATAGGATTGGGATCAAGACCCCACTAATTCAGTTAAGTCTATGATCACAAATCTTGGTGAAGAAAAGATTGGCAGTCGGATACTTGAACCAGAGAATAACTCAGTAATCTAAGGAAAAAATTCCATCTTCTCAATCACAGTAAAAGCTAATTCCCATTGCTCACTAGAAGGAACTGATGTGCAATGATTTTCTCTAAAACTCAAACGAAAGAAAACATCCTTGTATGGAATAGCAACATAGAGCATATGATAAGTGGAATTTCATCTAGTTGCACAATCAATTACTAATTTTTTCTCAACGGACCCCTTCAGTTGAAGAAGTTTTGAACCCTCTTAGGTGTAGAATTCCAGTAAACTACACTCTCCCTAATCAAATGTATAGCATCTTTGATTGCATCCAAACCATCCCCCACAATCAAAGTCAAAATATGAGCATAACACCTCTTATGAACCAGTTTACCATCAAGCAACAAGTCACTGCTCAGAAGCTTATTTCTCATATGGAAAATCATTGAATCATTGGTGGTACAGTTGTCCAATGTGATTGAGGACAACTTACTATCAATGTTTCAATCCAAAAGACAATCAAACAACCTATTAACAAGTCTATCACTAGTGTGAGGGGCTGGAACATACATAAACCTCATCATTATGTTATAGAGCTTCCAAGAGTTGTCAATAAAGTGACCAGTTACTATCATATAACCACATTTCTGATTTAAAGCCGTCCATAAATCAGTAGTCACTGAAACCCTCCCTAGGTTACCATCAATAATGGTCTGATATTTACCCCTTTCAATCCCATACAAACTCAAAATATCCTTTTTCCCAGTGTTTCTACTAGGAACAACGAATTGAGGTTGCAGAGAACAACAAAATCGTTTGAAACCCACATGATCAACTAGACTAAGAGGGTACTCATGGAACAAAGTTCCTTTCTAGAAACCTCATAATTGTATCGAGAAGCAAAGAGTTAAGGATTTCGAGCAGGTTGATAGTTGAGGCCAAGTATTTTTTATTAACCATCATGTATCCTCTTTTGGATACATGTTTTGATACGGTTTCTCATGTGTGAAGTTTCATTACTTGTTTCTCCACCTAGGGGTTTACGACAGTACTTACACCTAGCTTTCATAACCCCATTAATCCTAACTCGGTTGAAGTGAGGGTACACATTAGAGGTTAACTTACGTTGAGCTTCTAGCTCCTCGTCATTACCATTAACCAGATTAATTGCATCAGGAGGAGGTTGTTCATGTTGAGGTCAGACACCATTTTCACAGACATTGGCATTAAGAGCAGGTTTAACATTCATAGCAGTAGCACCTTCCATATGAACATAATCAATTTATGTGTTACTGATTGGGCCTTAATTTAACTTAGTTACATTCACAACGACAAGACTAGACTAGAAAACAAGACACCATTTGCAGCAAAATCACCATTCAGTTTAATTCTTCTTAGTTCTTACCATTAGCAAGCACATAAATTGTCACAACAAGTCGCACAACAATGAACAAACACAGTGGTTAGACTTAGGAGAGGAGAATGGGATTACCTAATCGGCTTTGAGTTTTCTTTGGACTGTCAAGTACCCAACGACAGTAGACTGATGATCTCTTGCTCTGTTTCTCTTCAACCCTTGAATACCGATTCAAACGAGTCCAACCTGGCCCAAAAAAGGAGTGAACAACGGACAAAAATCAAGTTAGAACTAGATTTCATGCATGCCTGTATTGACACCACTAACACAGAAAAATTAAATACGAGATCAAGATCCTTACCCTCAAGGTCGAGACTCAGTCTGGAGGCTCGTCGCAATCTTTGTCTCGGCTCTCTATGGACTGGGGTGTTTTGGTTTTGGATATCAGAAGATGGGGATATGGTGAGAAACAACCTCTTAAATTGCCCCTATATAGTAGTAAAAGAGTCAGTAGATATTTTGGGGATACAACAAAGATAATCGACAATAAAGAAAAGAACCCAAAATTAACTTATCTGTTATCAAAGAATCAACAATTTGAACTCCAAACGAGTCATTTTTGGGTTGTGCTCAAGGAAATCGTCGTCGAATGGTTGCTTTTCCTGCCATGTGATTGGTCAAATGAAGGGATTGAAGACAGATCCTAAGAACACTAGGAGAGATTTGTTGATTTTAGTTAAGGGAAAACGAAAAAAAAAAGGCAAATCACATTTATCTAGCAATCTGATCGCAAATCGCCTGAGAGGAGGCAGAGAGAAAGAAAGAAACTAGGGTTTAGGATTTTTTGGTGACATGAAGAATGAGGATTGAGGCGGTTGCTAGGGTTTTTGAATATGTAAGCAAATTATAAATATGATCTGCTAAACGACGTCGTTCTGGTACACGGGTAATTCGTCGGGTGGGTCTTAGGGTGGATAGTCGACCATCCACCACCATCTGAAACCAAGGGTTGACGGATCCTGTGTTCCCCGCCACTCGTTGACGGGCCTCAGAATCCAGCCCACTTGGGCCCTTATCGGGCAGGTATCCGCTAACGGGCCCTGACCTGCCATCCCTACATATTTTATTTAAATGTAAATATAAATTATAAGTAAATTGTATTAAAATATGTTTATATATGATTAAATTAATTTAATGTTAATGATCTTTCACATTTCTATATATTTTGTTAAATCGACATGAACCGGCACAAACCAAATGTACCACACATAAAACCAATTCACTTACACTATGATTCCGAAGGAAGAGAAGAAAAGGAGGGGAGGTGAAGGAAAATTAGGAGGGGAGGGGAGATTTGGAGGTGAAGGAAATTGGAAGGAAAATGTTGTTTTATGGAGGAAAGTAGGAAGGAAAGTGTGTTTTGGGAAGTGTGATGAATATGTTATTATTAGTTATATAATAGTAAATAGAGACTTTGTTTATTTAAAAACCATGATTTAACCACATCAATCATTTAAAAATAGAGACTTTATAATAATTGATCAAGAATTCTAAATCAATTAAAAATCATTCAACTTATTAAAATTTTGTTTGCTATTTTGTTGATTTATCAACATAGCAACTAAGAACATAAACAAATATGACATCCACTTTGAAATCGACAAATTAAACTCGAAATTTAGCTAGACCGTTAATATTGACAGGCATTAGTCTCTTTTGTCTATGACGCAACATATAATTCTAAAGTGGCTGCGACGTGACTTCCACGTCATACAACAATAAATAGAATTTAGCACTATATTATACCACAAATCAACAAGCTTACCACTATGGTATATTTCTACCATTATGATATATTTTTGCTATCATGGTATAATATATGATTATCAAATTATATATGGTATATTTTTACAAAATTACGATACCGACACTATGCTAAGATTTAGTAATTCTTCACTGAAATAATTATTTTTGTTTGGCTATTTCTTTGTTACTAATTAATTTTGTTTGGAAGCAGAATGAAGGCTAAAAGTCACCAGGACTAATTTGATTACTTTCATGCTAGTAATTAAAAAGACTCACTTAATCTGGTTCTTTCCTCTTGAACCTGTTCTTCCCCTTTTTCGTTGTATTTCTCCTTATTTTTGGCTTTCATCAATAAATTTTGCCATTATAAAAAAAAAACAAATAAGGATTGTGAGAGAGTGGGTGAAGTTAATAATCTTGTATAATAATGAAGTTAGCAATTGAATTAATAATTAATGTTATTTTGTGTTGGAAACTTAACTATTAGGCAAATATTTAAAAATGAAGAAAAAGAAGAACATGCATGTGTGTCCTTCATTCCCTTTTCTTTCTCTCCAATTTGGAGAAGTGAGTTGAATAGTACCAAGGGGGGATAATTTTCCTTCCTTACTCACTTTCCCTCCATAAATGAACAATGAAAAATGCATGGAGAATCTCACTTTCCCTCCTCAATTTTCCTTTCCCTCCTTTTCTCTCCTTAAGAAACATAGTATTACTAAATGGATACAACGATATAAACCGATTTGAGAGACTTGATGATTCTTTATTCTTCTTCGTTTTCTTCCCAATAAATGAGATGATAGTCATGGTCTCATGGACCCATATATGGTAAACCCATCCAGTGCTAAAGTTGGTTTCGTGATATTATTTCTGTCATGGGTTCCTTTCCCTTTCTTGGTCTCCCATCGTTAGTATAGTTAGGTGGTGAATGACAAAACGATGGGTCGAGCCAGTTCCCTCTGACAGCATAGCACGTAAATTCATGGCTGCACACTGATGAGTCTCATCAACCCAAAAGCGAGGAAAAGAGAGACTGGGAGACACATTCATCAGAAAGAAAGAAGACAAACGAATTGAATTCACAAGTCTTCACATGCATGCATAAAACTCAGAAACCTTCTTACACACCTATATTCAGCCCTATTTTCGTTCACATGCAGTTGGCTACATGGTTCATTTTTCTCTAAATAGTTCTATTTCAATCCAATACATTTGACCAAGTCATTAACCTGGTTGGTTCCTTCAAAAAGAAAGAAAATGATTTTAATATAATGTCATAGTACACCGGAAAAAAGTTGAAGTACCGGAAATGATAATGGTTAAGGAGTATATGCCTCAATACTCATATATCTATACATGCTTCTTGCTACATATGGGTCATATTTGGTATACTTTATGTGACACAAATTGGGGTGGATTGACGCTTATGATTAGAGAAAATATAAGCAATTGTTCATTGTTTCTGTTAAAAGATGAAATATAATGATATGACCAATGAACCCAAAAAAAAAAAAAAAATTCAGAGAGAGTCTAGCACTTGATTGTAGCTAAATTATATAACTTAGTTGGTATGCGGAAATGATAAAGAACACAACGATATATGCAATATCTCGGTTCCATGTGAACATGACTAAATCTACGGAGAGCAATAGTTCTCAGCTTATGGTTATATCGTACTGATTGCTATACTCTAGGTGATCTGACCATTAAATTTACTTCGATGATATCCTACTAATCTCAATGGTTAATAGTATTTTCTATTAGATTGAACTTCGAGTTTGAGTTTAGAGAATCGGGGCATGGGGTTTATCCATTAGAGGTTAGGGTATAGTATCATACATACCTCAAACTGTATTTTATTCATGATCTAGATAAAGATATTTTACTAGGAGTACCTGAAGCATAGTATATTCGAGGAGTACACCAGTCTTACTAGGGTACGCGTTAGTTAGGGTCTTCACAACTTAGTTCTCACGTAAACTCATATAGTTATTATTTCATTGAAGTGACTAGTTTATCCAAGTAAAAAAAACAACACCCTTAATGCCACAAAAGTCATAGAAACTTGCAAATGAAGAAAGCTTGAAATGCGAAACATTGTTACATAGTGAATAATAATCCTCATATCAACAACACAAATCCACACAAAAGTTAATCCACATCTTCATCGATTTGCATCTCTAACAATTTTTTTATGAACCTCACATGCATCTCTATGATAAAGCTCCATCTTTCAGTCAAATCCTGACTAGCTAATCAAAAATAGTTTCTTCCCCATCACCAATCCCTTTCCTACTCGAGTGACCATTATCTGACAAAGCAGGGCCAGATAAAGAGAGAGAGAAGAGCAGTTTGGTGGGAAGTTGTGAAGCAATGAGACACCAGACATACATTTACACATAGGCAGAGACTGCATTTGTTCCCCATAACAAGAGCATCATGGGCTCTTCCCTTTCCTGGATTCCTTCCATCTTCCCAATGTCCATGTGAGCCAGTGATCCCAATATAATGGAGATAAATAGATAGATAGATCGATGGAACTCTCTCTCTCTCTCTCTCTCTCTGGCGCCCAATAGTAATCTAACAATCTCATAATATACAAAGAGCAAAAAGGAAAGCCGTCTATGGCTACCTAGCTGGCTGCATGCCCTAGCTCGACCCTCAATGTGGGGGGGACCGATTCCCCAGTTGAGACAAGACAACACGTGTCGAAACTGATGAGTATCTTGTTCAGCCAATGAGCCAACACGTGGAACCCTAGGCCACCAATCAAGCTGCCTCCTTTTCTGACTCTTTCCCTCAAAGGCCAATTATAGGGTTTTCGTTGCAGTAGGTCTTGCATGCGATCTTGTTTAATTAAATGGATATGGTCTAGTTGTGCACATGATGGGGAAGATTATATCCCAATTGATCTCTAGCTACGAGGATTTTGTGGTGGTTGTGGCAGCATCATGGCCAAGTTAATTATGGCTCCCCAAATGGTGCAATATATAATAAGCAAAAGCATGCAATTAGATCTCTCTGGTAAGTTACTAGTGTCCGGAGATCGATGGATGGAACCGAGGGGAAAGGGCTAGAGAAGGAATCACCAACGTGATGATTTAATAGTAATAAGTAGTTTATGTATTGGAAGAAGGAAGCAATTGCTTTTAATTTACTTCTCCCTAGATCGTCTTCCCCAATAGCTAGCTGGATAGGTAGGCAGCAACCAATAATTGAAGCTCGCAAACATGTCAAGGGGGTGGTTTGGTATTTGTCACAATATAGTATTATTCCCAATCCTTCATTCGTTAGTGTGACCTGGCGATAGGAGTCTTAAATGATAGGAATTTGTTACGGTGACATGCATGTCACCGTAGCTTGCACTTTAAGGTCGATCTTATATAAGATTAGGTCGGCTTAATATGTCGTTTCAGTCTTGTACTAAAAGGCAGTTTATTTCGTAGCAACTTCAAGCCTTTTGTTTGAAGCCTTTTAGATATCCAATATTTCATCCAATTCCTTGAATTTGTAGACAAACATACCAACTTTCATGTGGTAGAGGCCCCTGGACTCGAATCTCATCCATGCTTCTGCAATTGAGCTCCAAAGTAGGCTTCACAAACACTTATTCCCAGACTTGGCCATTTTCAGGCAGTTTCCCAGTTTTCCCATAACTTTTTGATCAGGTTCAAAAATGGTCTTCTAGACTTCCTATCGAGCTCCCAAGCACTTCAATGTGTAGAGGGACACTCCAGGTTCAAAATAAGCCATTAATCTCCAATTTCTAGCCAACGAATTGTAAGATATGAATCTCCAAAGTAGGCACCATGAAATTATTTTTACACTGAAATAACATATTAGGTTGACCTAATCCTAATTGAGGTCGACTGAAAAGTGCATGTCATCAAAGAGGCACCTAAATGATATTTTCCATGATATAATTTGACTAACGATATTTTTTTTATTATCAAGAGTACATGGGGTGATCAAGTATTAGATTTGTCCCAATTTTTTGTGTTAATTTACATTGATTTAGCGAATCAATATTAAAGAGGTTGCGTTTTACTCAACACTGAAGGTCACATTTCTTGTTATCTAATAAGACCATATATTGTACACATTTGTAAAGAAATTTTGTTAGTTAAATATATTTTATAATGTGGGTTGGATCCAAAAAGTGATGAATGTTATGTGCTAAGCATACGTACAAAAATGTTGTAGTCGTGAATGACATTCAATTTCAAATTCATGCAGATACTCAAATTATTAAAATAAACTGGCTTCCTGTATATTTTTTTTCTTCTTCTTTTTGCTACCAAGAGATCCCTCACCTTAAGAAAATAATTACAATTAATTTCTTGTCACAAAATAACGTACCCCATTAACTACATCAAATCAAACTAGCCATATTTTTATATTTTAGGATAAAGAACCCCCAATGATGAGTGTTGGAAAGATATAGCCGAGTGGAGTCCATCTTTCCACGATACAAACTGTGTTATAGTTACTCATAAATACACCCATCTAAATTAAGTTTGTATATTTACACATATTGGATCAAAGCTAGGTCTTGGACCTATATGTTCTTCTTTTGTATGAATCTTGGTCCTATATGTTCTTTAAATTTTAGATGAATGTCAATATCTTCTACATTCCAAAATTCATGTGGGGCTTCTTTACTTTCCACCCCTTTTAAGTGGATTCCAACTCCTCTCTCAACCATATTATTGGCCAGATTCCTCTTTGGCTCTTGCTTTGGTGGGTGGTGGGTTTCCCTTTCCAAAACCTAATAATTAACCCAAACAAAATGGGTTCTTCATAGCCCAATATATCCATTATTTGTACTGTCTCTTTCTCTCCCCACAAGTTGCCCCTTCCAGTTCATATCTTCTGTAGCCAATGGGTATCTAGCTTTTGTCCATGTATACAATGTTAATCAACAAGATTGAGTTTTCAGTTGTTCGAAAAAATCTCTAGCTAATTATCCATGTGTATATGTATTTATTTGAAAGAACTTATACATGGAAATGGAAATGGAAGTTGTTGTTCGTGGGACTTTCCCTTCATGTGGCCCTATTGAAGCATGCATACATCCAGTCAGTTAAGTTTTGTGTATATTTCATGCATTAGGCCATTAGCTAGAGTTAGAAACATGCACATCTGAAAATATCTCCCATATTCAACCACATTAAATGTCTTATGTCATTGATTCTTTCAATCTCACTTGAGATTGGTGATGATGATTGGATATATCCAAGAGAAAATAGATTACCTCAATGAGTTGGCTAATGATAATATACGTGGAATAATAACATCAATAATTTTTCTGAGTCAAATTTAAACAACCTATTTTGTTAGAGCGTATATATCAATGAATGGAAATAGTTCACTTACCTAGATGAGATACATTAGAAAAATGAATGTTTGGTCTAGATGATCATTTCTCCGGATGAATTAGTTTGTATGAAAATAACATAAGATTTACATTTGTCTCTCTCTTGAAAATGTGAGTTATTGCGATGAACTTGTTCGTGACACATTCGACCTTTTTTCCGGGAGTTCTAATGTTCAAACCTTTACATTCATCAATATTGACAAAACGTTATAAATACCAAAGATTATTCTTTGTGTAGAGTTCAATTGATGAATTGGTTGATTTTTCAAGGCTGGTTTGTATAGTAAATTGGCAAGTTTCAATCCCAGTTGTATATTTCTCAACAATAAGTAATGAATTGGTATTACCTTTTAAAGTAACAAAAGACGAGGGGGGAAAAACACAATGAGCCCATGTCTGAAAAAAGGGAGTATGCTGGTGGTTGAGCATTCCAGATAGATAGGCATATACATCTGCAAAACCAGACAACCTACTGTTACATTAAATACCTATAATAATATAATAAAGTTCAAGATCCTGATTAGTACATCAGATCTGACTGTTGATTTTGGAATTAATTTCAGCATTAGAGGTCTACAATCGGGGCTCATGATTTTAGTTATAAAATTTATTAAGTACCCACTTAGCACAATTAGCTAACATAATGCCAGGCTAGCTACTAGGCCGGATTAGAAATTGATTGTAGTCATTCCACAGAATAGAACAGATTGCACATAATGATGGTGGTTATAATCATAGTTAAAGACCTCTTTGTTTCATAATTATAAGATGGTATGATGACAAATATATATATTATGGCAACTTGTACTCTTCAACCGATTTCTAGATTACAAAAATATGCAGCTTGTTGAAACCACCTTTTCGTATGCGGTTAGCCACTACAAAAAATAGGTTCTACGCCAAGGGTTCTATAGCAAGGGTTTTAAAACCCCTGGTAATTTTCCCAGAATTCATTTTAACGACGGTTTATTCCAAGGGTATGAAAACCCTTGCTACACTTACCTATATTTCACCCGTCGGAAATCGAAAATCCCCATTTCCCTTGTACGATTTTCTTCATTTCTTTCCTGCCCCTGTTCGATGATCCCGCCGCACGCGAGAGATCTAGGAATAGAGCTCGCTGATTCTGCTTGAGCGCAAAAGAGATGTCAGAGAGAGAGCTCCTGATTCCGCCGGAGCAAGAGATTGGAGAATCACGATGGAGCGAGAGAGAGATCACAGAATCACTGGATCATTGAGCTAGATCTTCTTCTTGTCTTTCCCATCCGACGGCCGCCTTCCATGTCAGTCCGCTGCCTCTTCATCCTTCCTCGTGTCCTCCGACGAAAAAGGTTATCTCGTTCGCTCTCTCTATCTCCGTCTCTCTCACACGCGCAAGCTCCAACTAGGTTATGGAGTCAACTGATTCTTTTTGGTCTGTTGCTGCTCTGAAGAATAAATTGCTAGATCTCAAAAGAGGAGACGAGTGACTAATCTGATTGAGGATCAGTGTAATTTATCTACAGGTTCATTCAGGCTATGATTGAGCATAAACCTTTAAGAGTTTCCCATCAACATAACCACAGAAAATGTTGTGTGTTATTCGACATGAGCATGGTGTATGTATGTATGTTCATAAGCATGATGATTTCTTAGGGCAAAGGTCGTAATTCATTCTTGTGTTTCTTAGAGAAAGGCGATTATCCTTCCTGTATATAGTATTTGCTTGACTTGGTTGAGCAGAAAGGAGGTTCGCCTTCCTGTATGTTAGTAGTTAGCAGAGGATAGTTGCTGACTGGAAACTACTCTCACCTTGCTTAACCTTTCTTCTTCATATTCATTCAATTGTTTCATTGGAAACTATGGAAACTAATCTCACTTAGACTAACATTTCCTTGCTCTTGGGAGAAGGATAAAGGCAAAAGGGAAATGAGATTTTCCTTTATTCACAATCGAAATCTCATCCTTTTGCTCTTCCTCCTTATTTATGTATCTTTTCTATTACAACCTCTTTTTGTCGATAAATATGGGTTTAGCTGTGAGTTTTGGATTTTCTACAAGTGTTCAACAGCCAAATGTTTGTTTATACTATTCTAAAGTTGTTTTCTTGCAGTTGTTTTTACTTCTGCAGATGGTTTCAAGTTCAAGAAAATTAAGAAACTTGAGAATTGTGACCGAGTCACATATGCAAGAGCATTTTCAGTAAGGACATCCACAGTCTCTTCGTGAGAAAGGATTTGCAGACAGTATGGGTACATATGAAAATGAATTGTTATATTAATTTCAATAGTGACTTTAATATGAACTTATTAGCATTTATGAAATTGCACAAATTCTACTAAACTTTGTGTACTTAAGTGATTACCCTGTACATCCATTTTCTGACTGCTATTGTACCACTAATCAGCCTGGAGCTACATTGAAATATGCTAAAGAAGTAACTGAAAACTCAGCTTTCTGGTATGCTCTTGGAGGAAAACAAAAATACACCAGCAAAAAGGTGATATTATCTGCATTTTTAATTAGCAGTAAATCTAGTTGCAGGGTAACTTCTGCGATATCAGAGGTGCGATTTGTCTTCCTGGAGCAAAGTTATCCAGATTGTATGTTCCTGTATGCATCTCAATCAGTTTGTGTGGCAGTGGGATTGGACTTTATCGTCAGGTCCATTTCATCTTGATCATGGCTGCACATGGTGACTAAATTTGGCTGCATCAACTTTAAGTGTCTATAGCTGCTATGGAATACATCAAATCTTTCAAGAGACATACTGAGTTACTACATTTTTTCTTATAGCAGACAACTAAGGAAACATGCTTTTGTTCTTCATTCGATGAAGCTGACTGCTTACTTCAAGGGACCAGATAAGCTTTGCCATAGTAAGGGATATGATCAGGGTAAAGATTCTCGGGGAAACCGCTGCTCCCCTGGCGAACCTAACCTCCTCACCAAGTGCTCATATATCCTAGAAACTCCTCGTCGGCTGTCCCTCATTCGCCGCTGCAAGCACAACCCCAGTTGTCTTCCATGCCTCAACTCCTCTGCAGTTCAATAGGAGCTTTAGCTCATTGGTAGGTGCACTTCGTAATCCTCTTTTCGCGTTGGTTTATTGGGGTTTTTCTTTTTGACCAAGTTTGTAGCTTCTTTTTGCTTAGTCTCGTTGTTAAGTTAGGTTCAGGTTCATCAAATGTTGTGCTGATTAAGACAGAACATGAGTTTAATAGCTCTCTCAAAGACGTTCAAGGTTAGCTATTTTACTTCATTTGCTGTAAATGGTTGCCGACTGCTTCATGCTACTAACAACTTGTGTCAAATCTGTTCGTCTTTGTAACAGATAAGTCATTGCCTGCAGTCTACTACTTCACTGCTGTGTGGTGTGGCCCCTGTAATTTTCTGAACCCACCTTATTCTAGACAAGTTTAGTCGTTTTCTTTCATGGGTGTCAGATTCTTTTCCACATAACATGTTCCTGAAAATCGATATGGTTCCTGCTAAGATTTGTTGCAGGTAAGTTTATATCTCCTGTCACAACAAAACTTAGCGACGAATACCCTCATGTACCTACTTACAAGATCGACGTTGATCAGGTACCTATCACTTATAGTTTGATTTCCTCAGAACAGAAAACGTCTAACGACTCATATGGCTTGGTTTACCTTTCTAAACTTGTGCTGCTTATCATCGTGTAGGAAGGCTTGAACAGCGTGCTGACCAGATTGGTTATAACTTACAGGAGGTTATCCAACAATAATCTGAATGGTCATTTTCCATACATCAGCGACATGGGAGTCCTTAGCTCTCTGTAAGCTGAATCCACATAGCAGTTACTATTTTGAGTAATAATGGAAAGTCACATAGTTAACTACTTCTTGTATGTTGTTGGCAGGGACATCAGCAACAACAACTTCGATTCATCAAGTTTTCCTTCATTGTATCATCTCTAGACTCCTTGACTACACTGTAAGGAAAAAATTTGCATGTTTTGTGGATCAAATATTAACAAATGAGAAAAAGAAGCTTAAGTCCATAGAAGAGCACGGGTCTCTTGTGAGCTTGAGAGCATTAGTTGTAAACAATGAGCTTCTACTTGCTTATAAAATCATAAAATTGCTAGTGCTTTTACTGTATTGCAGAATTGGTTTCTTAAAGCAGATTAGTGTTCCAGCAGCGGTGACAAATTTCTAGTCCAACCAAGGAGCAAGTGTTCATCAGGCATTCAGGCTCTCGCATGCATCCGACTTTCTAATAGGAGTTACAGATCATAAAGGTGTACTCTAGATGTTTTCTAGTGTTCATAATACGTTTAGATATTTTGAATGTCATATGAATTATGTTGTTTTAAGATTGGTAATCACTGTACGATTATGGTATGATTGAATATCATAATAAGAATATTACAATTTATTGAAGGATTTTTTGTTTAGGGTGACTTTTTATTTAATGACGGAAATATCTACTTTAGTAACGAGATAGTGGTTCCGAAATATACGATTAGTTTCAATATTAGCGACGACAAGTTTGGGGACGAAAAAGTGACACTAATTTATTTTAATTTTTGCGAAGTATAGCATGGGTTTTAACCCTTGCTACATGTAAGTTATGTGTCAATGATTCCTTTTAATTTAAGGGACGTATAGCAAGGGATTAAACCCTTAATAACGTAGCAGGGGTTCAAAACCCTTGGTAGAACCCCTGCATGGGACTTCCACCAAGGGTCGCTTAAAGCCCTTGCTATACGTAGCAAGGGCAGCTTTGCCAAGGGTCCGTCCAAGGGTTGATAAAACCCTTGCTATATCCTGTAGCAGGGGTTAAAACCCTTGCTATCAGGGGCGGAGCTACATTGTAGCTAGGGTGGGCCCCGGCCCCCCGGGATTGATCCCGGCCCCTAGGTTCTTAAGGATATTTCGTACAAATTTTAGAAGTAGAACATGTCCTGTAAATTATATCATTAAATAGTTATGTGGTCTAATGGTAGCCAAGCTTAACTTGTGTATTATAGCACACGGGTTCGATCCACATTGGTTACATAATTTTTTTTAATTATTTTCGGCCCCCCCGGTCTCGAAATCCTGGCTCCGCCCCTGCTTGCTATAGGTAAAAATAACCCTTGCCATAGACACCTTTTCTTGTAGTGAGCGTTAGGCATAGTCTACAAATTAACCTACCATTTTGGCATCAGTTATTGATCTATACATGATAAATCACCATGGGGGATCCCAAGATATAACTAGCATAAGACCAGTTAAAATCGCGATTTAAATTGTATAATCCTACGATTTTATGATTTTAATTATCTATTTCGATTTTAATTTCATTATAAAATGTAGGAAAAATAAATATGTATAGCCAAAATTTTGCCGGTTGTGACAATAATACCCACTTTTTGAGAAATACACAAAATGTCCAAAATTTTGAAAGTATAATGACAAATATAGCCATTTTCGTTACAAACTTTAACGGTGTTAGAAACTCCGTCAGTTAGGTTAACGTTAGGCTGACTAGAATCCCAAATCATCGCACACATCAGCGACAAATCATCAATATCATTGCCACATCATTTTGATTTATAAAAATAAATATTTTTGAAACTAAAAAAAACATAAAAGATTTTTTCTAATTTCCCATATTCCCCACCAGCCGTCTCCTTCCTCTTCGCTCCCAACCGCGTCTCGCCGGCATTCACCTCCACCACGAAATATTCCAGAGGGCACCACAGAACTGACTTGTTCCAACTACAACATCTCGATCGACGGCCAAGCATAACCGGCAACGGGTGTAGCATAGGGAACGCAAGAAATAATGATTTATCGTACAAGGGGGATCTAAGCTTACCCTACTTCAGGTTTAGCGTTTGTTATCTAGCCAACCTAGAGTAGTGATTAGGAAAATAAACTAAACTAACTAACCTAACTAACCACTAACCTAGCTATTTACAAGGTTGGAGCTCTCTTGGGTTTCAATCCCTCTAGTTCCGTCCCTTGGATCGATGTTGAGTATCCTCCTAGCTTGATTGTCTCAATTACTCTACCGTTAGGAGATGGACTCATTCGGGAATGACCCGGAACGGCGAATCGGTGAATGGGTTGTGCTCTATTCAACTTAGGGCCAACCCTATATCGTAAGAGATTGATGAAATCGACTCCCTCGGGGATTACCCAGATGATATAGGATGAGGAACGACCCGAAGATGCCAATAATGGGCTCTAAGAGGATTTTCTCCCACCTAGGTTAAAAGCTCAATACATGAAATGGAAACCAAACTCATGCAATCCATGAAAACATCCATCAATTAAGTAAAATCATCAATCACACATGGAATTTGTCACATACATCAACAATGAAACAAAATCTAGACCTAGAGATAGTAAACCCGAGAGGAGAGGGTGAGCTTCTATAGAGAGAAGAGAGAGATTACAAATAGGAGCACAAGATCTTCTTCTTCTTTTTCGAAGCTTGATTCCTTGTTTCCAAACTTGATCAATGCCTTCAATTAAGCTCCAAGATCACTCAAGAGCTCTCTCTCTCTCTCTCTCACTAGAACTCTCATTTGGTGTTTAGGTCAAAACCATAGAGAGAGAATTGATTTCTCTTTCCAAACTATCTCTTTTTTCTTTCTCGCCGCTACTGTCTTTATATTTGCCTGACAGTGCTGACTTCACGATCTGGGGCTTGAGTTGACGGTCTTAGCGACCGTGAACTGACCGGGATCTCGCGAGGTGTGCATTTGCTTCTGGAATTTGGCCACTTCACAGTCTAGGGGTGATTATCACGGTCTTGGGACCGTTATAAATGAGTCATGCCCTTAAAGTCTTGCTCTTCACTCACTTGGGGTGATTTTCATAGTCTAAGGGCATGACATTTGGCTCCAGCCTGTGTACAGTGCTCAGCCTCCACTTTTTGGCTCGTTTTGACCTCCAATTGACCTGAAACCCGTCTCGGACCTTCGACCATGTAATATGACCTGAAATGTGGGGGGAAAAAGCATAAACTAGCATAAAATAGGTCAAGGTACGATGATAACGAATTCAAACTATCAAGAAATAAGGTCTAAAATATGTGTAATTGAGCCCAAATCACACCCCCACACTTGAACGTTTGCTTGTCTGCAAGCAAACCAAGTACAAAACAAGGTAAGCTTACACATATTCTTGAAAACCTTGGTGCATGTCATAGTGCACAAAACATGTGAATTTCAATGGCTATTAGACCTCAACATATGGACAACATCAACAATAATCCTAAAAACCACCACCAATGACATTTGAATGCAATAGAACCGTGAAAAGTAAGAGTTCTCATCTTGTTCACAAACCAAAACATAACATGTAATGACGACTCACCAATCACAGTTAACCATGCATAAAGATCACGTCATAGGAACGAATGACCGAGCAAACTAGGTCCTCACCGAGATACATGATAAGAATAAAGCATGAGAAATAAATCACTCACTCTCGACTAGTGGGGCCAGGACCATTTTGATGCAAAAGATGTTCATACTCAAACGCTAAACCCTATCATCTCTTCACCATGACGGTAGCCTCTAAATGCTAGAGCTCACAATGATGGGTGTCGTCACTAGCTTGTTCGGAGGTCCTAGACATGGGTTCAAATGACTGGCTATTGTCTTGGATATGGGGAAAAAGCTTTTTGGGTGGTGGAAAACGTAGCATGAGGTTCCACACCTTCAACCTAAAACCAAAACAAGGTTCTAAGGTTTTGACTAAACCCTTCTTCTACAAACCATGGTCGCTAGCATCGACCAAAAACCAAGTTTCCCACTATTCCAAAACACAACCAATCACCAACCCATTCACTACGAACTTTCTTTCTACATTTGCTATTCAATTCAAGCACAAGAGTATGGTAGGGAAACAACATGTAAGTGTTCCTATAGCTTGCAGAAAACCTCACAAAATTTAATATCTATGGCCCCTAAACCGCCAATTTGGCTATGGATATGGTAACAAACCCTCGAGATTTGGGTGGTGGTCCCGAGCTCCATTTATGAAGTCTAGTCCATGGGTCTTGATTTCCAATGCTTGTATAAAGTTACTCATTAGGGTTTCATGAAAATATCAAAATGCTATCATGAGACACCAAAAGTATAAAAACACACCTTCTAAATTTGGAGCCTTGTGATTGCCAAATTCCTACAATTTGAGGGCTCCAGTCACTTGTGCATGAATGAATGATGAATGGCTGATATTGAGATATGTTTTTGAACCTAGATTATTCCTTGAGCTGAAAATTTTAAGGGTTCAATCATAATTGTCCCTAGCATTATCTTTCTCAGTGTGCTTTGAATTGTTTGATAATTATGATGGTGTGAACTATAGGGAATAGTGAGGTGCCATGAGAATCATTGAAAATAAGTGACTTTACTTCTCCTCTTGGTTGTGTGAAAGTGTTAATTATGTAGGTTAGGACATGTGTGTGGGACTTCCCAAGTAGGACTCCGAAATGTTTTGCAAAATGTGCTCTAAATTGGAGTTTTTTTTTATGAAAAATGAGGTTCTCACGTGAAAGGTAAATGGGCATAGTGCTTGATTTGAGCATTCGAAGGGAACTTCTCTCCATATGTAGTGCCATTAAGGATGTCTTTGGGGTTCAGATAGCTTTCTAGCATCCCGATCATCTTTCACTATCTTCCATCCTTTGAACACATTTCCTCCTTACGGGCTCGTATGGCAAGATACAAAGTCTCTTTTAGAGAGTCACAAGACCTTAGCTCTCGTTTGTACTCGACATGTGTGACAACCCATCTGTTGTTGAGACGTGGAAGTTCAGGTTGGGAAGATGTGCTCCTACAATGAATCCGAACATAATCTTCCCCACATGGGACCTTGATAGGGAAGACAATGTTCCTTTCGCTCTTGGTCACTAGGGAGAGATGCCTTGATTTGCAAAATTGCAAAGTCGGGTCGTGCATTGAATGTTTAAG